TTCTTTCTTCTTCCCTTCCCAGGTTCTAGTTTTTGGCTTTTTCTCTCTTCCCTTTTCCTGGTTCCCATTTTTTCCTTTCTTGTGGTTCTCCCCATTTCTTGTTTTTCTTTTTGCCTTTTCCCCATTTTTTTTCTTCATTACTCTCCTACTCCATCTCTTTTCTCTCATTCCTCCCCTCCCCAGGTTTTTTTTCACCAATCCAATCAGTGTAGCTTAGACTTCTTCTTTAAATACTATTGGCCTTGATCATATACTACCTCCTGAAATAATTGGACATTGACTTATTCTTTTAGATACAGTGATTCTGTATATTCTTTCCACCTTTTGGTGCTCCCAGTCTTTGCACATTTCATTATAATATTTTATTTTGTCTTCTTGAGCTGCCTTTTCAAATCTGTGCAGTACTCTTATTTTGGCATGTCTTCCATTTGTTTTTGCTTTTCTACATTCAAGAGCAGGTTTCAGAATTTCTTCTGACATTCATTTTCATCCTTTCTTCCTTTCCTGTCTTTTTAATTACAATTTGTTTTCTTCAACTAGAGAGCATAAAATTGAATAAATATGAGACAATAAACAGATTTTGGCTAATGTCTTTCCTCATTATTATTCTCCATATTTTTTTTAGGGATTATTTGTCTTTATCCTTCCTGTTCAAAGCAAAGTACTCAAAGATGCCCAACTCTACCACAGTGACTGAATTCCTGCTTACCGGATTTTCTGATGTGTGGGAGCTCAGAGTCGTGCATGCCATGCTATTCTTACTGATGTATTTGACAACCTTAATGGGTAACTTTCTCATTGTCACAGTAACCACTTTTGACAAAAGTCTTCACAACCCTATGTATTTCTTCCTTAGGAATCTGTCTGTTCTGGATATGTGCTACATCTCTGTCACTGTACCCAAAGCGTGTGTCCTCTTCCTGCTCAACAATAGGGTGATCTCAATGGTTGAATGTGGAACACAGATCTTCTTTGTGGTTTTCTGTGCTACTGTGGAGCTGCTGTTCCTCACAATCATGGCCTATGACCGCTATGTTGCCATATGCCAACCCCTTCACTACCCTGTGATCATGAACCCTCGAATCTGTGTCCAGACAACACTGGCCTCTGTACTCAGTGGTCTGATTTATGCAGGTGTGCACACTGGCAGTACATTCCGGTTGTCCTTCTGTAAGTCTAACGTGATCCATCAGTTCTTTTGTGACATACCACCATTGCTGAAGCTCTCCTGCTCTGATACCTTCATCAATGAGGTTGTAATTTTTTTCTCTGCAGTGATGATTGTAGGTGGTTGCTTTACTTTCATTGTCATGTCTTACATTCGCCTATTTTCTACTGTGTTCAAGGTTCCAACCAAGGGAGAGAGAAGAAAGGCCTTTTCCACCTGTCTACCACACATTATTGTGGTGACAGTATTTGCCAGCTCAGTGAACACTGTATATATGAATCCAACTTCTAACTCACACACAGTTCAGGATATGATCATTTCTGTGTTCTACTGTATAGTCCCTCCTTTCCTAAATCCTATTATCTATAGTCTTAGGAATAAGCAGATAAAGGAGGCTGTAAGGAGAATTATGTTGTAGAGTTTACTCTGACTCTACAACCTTACGTATAACAGAATAAAACGTTGTTCAACCTTGCATCATTATCATAATCATGTGTGTGTTTGAGTCCATTGTTTTGTCTATTGTGTTAGTCTAACTCACTTTTTTTCCATTCATTTTTGCTGAAACTCTAATTGACCAAAATTATGGGAAGAAACAATACATTCATATTGTAACCTGTAGTCTTCTCTCCTCAAAATATGTATTTTCTAATGTCTGAAATATGTTTTCTAAAGACTCATATTGATTAAATGGTTCTCATCAGACTTATCTAGGGAGTCCAAGAATAGATAAACTATGTTGTTGTGATTGTTGTTAGATTCTGTTGAGTCAGCACTGACTTATAACAAACCTATGTACAACAGAACAAAATACTGCCCAGTCCTGTGCCAGCCTCACAATCCTTGGTATACTTGAGCCCACTTTTGCAGCCATGGTATCAGTCCATATCATTGAGGGCCTTTCCCTCTTTCATTGACCGTCCACTTTGCCAAACATGATATCCTTCTCCAGGGAATGATTCTTTCTGACAATATGACCAAAGTGGGTGAGATGAAGGCTGGCCATTCTTGCTTCCAAGAAGCATTCCAGTTGAACTTCTTCCAGGACAGTTTTGTTAGTTCTTTTAGCAGTTTGTGGTACTTTCAGTATTCTTTGCCAACACCACAACCCAACAGCATCAACTCTGCTTTGGTCTTCCTTATTTATTGTGCAGCTTTCATATGCATATGAGGTGATTGAAAATAACACCACTTGGGTTAGGTGCAACTTATTCTTTAAGAGTTGATGCTGTTGGGTTGTGGTGTTGGCAAAGAATACTGAAAGTACCACAAACTGCTAAAAGAACTAACAAAACTGTCCTGGAAGAAGTTCAACTGGAATGCTTCTTGGAAGCAAGAATGGCCAGCCTTCATCTCACCCACTTTTATTCTTCAAAGGGGAGCTCTGGTAGCATAGTGGCTAAGGCACTTGACTGCTAACCAGAAGGCAGGCGGTTCAAACCCACCAGCCACTCCTCGGAAGGAAGGTTGGGCAATCCTACTTCCGTAGTGATACTGCCTGGGAAACCCAAGGAGGGGTCACTATGAGTCGGGGCCGAATCGACGGCAAACAACAACAACAACAACATTCTTCAAAGAGACATCTTTGCACTTCAGCACTTGAAAGATGTCTTTTGCAGCAGATTTGCCCATTGTATGATCTTCAAAATATCCTTTCTGAATTTAGAGATCATCTAAAGAATAGATTTGATGCATTGAACACCAATGACAGAAAACCAGAAGAATTGTGGGAAGATATCAAAAAATTATCTATTAAGAAAGCAAGAGATCACTAAAGAGAGAAAAAAGAAGAGAAGACAAAAGTGAATGAGTGAAGAGACTCTGAAACGTGCCCTTGAGCGGAGAGTAGCTAAAGCAAATGGAAGAAATGACAAGGTAAAAGAGCTAAACAGAAGATTTCAAAAAGCAGCTCAAGCAGATAAAATCAATTACTATAATGAAATGTGCAAAGACCTGGAGTTTGAAAAACAAAAGGGAAGAACATGGTTGGCATTTCTCAAGCTGAAAGAATTGAGGAAAAAATTTAAGCCTTGATTTGCAATATTGAGAGATTTTGTGGGCAAAATATTAAATGATGCAGGAAACATGAGTTGGCAGGAATACACAGAGTCACTGTACCAAAAAGAACTGGTCAATCTTCACCCATTTCAGGAAGTGGCATGATCTAGAACCAATGGTACTGAAGGAGGAAGTCAAAGCTGCAATGAAAGAAAGAATTGGCAAAGAACAAGGTTCTGGGAATTGACAGAATACTGATTGAGATATTTCAACAAATGGATGTCCCATTGGAGGCACTCACTTGGTTATGCCAAGAGATTTGGAAGACAGCCACCTGGCCAACTGACTAGAAGAGATCCATATTTGTATCCATTCCAAAGAAAGGTGATCCCACAGAATGTGGAAATTATAGAACAATATCATTAATATCTCACTCAAGTAAGCTCTTACTGAAGACAATTCAAAAAAATTTGCAGCAATATATTGACAGACAACTTCCAGAGGTGCAAGCTGCATTCAGAAGAGGATGTGGAACAAGGGATATCATAGTTGTTGTCAGATAGATCTTGGCTCAAGGGAAAGAATACCAGAAAGATGTTTACTTGTGTCTTATTGACTATGAAAAGATATTTGATTGTGTGGATCATGATAAATTATGGATAACATTGAGAAGAATTGGAATTCGAGAACACAAGACTGTACTCATGAAGAACCTGTACATAGATCAGGAAGATCAAATAGAACAAGGGGATACTGCATATACTGCATGGTTTAAAATGAACAAGAGAGTGTGTCAGGGTTGTATCTTTTCATCATACTTATTCAATATGTATGCTGAGCAAATAATCAGAGATGCTGGATTATATGAAGAAGAATGTGGCATCAGGATTAGAGGAAGACACATTAAAAATCTGTGATATGCATATGACACAACTTTGCTTGCTGAAAGTGAGGATGACTTGAAGCTAATGAAGATTAAACACTACAGCCTGCAGTATGGATTACACATCAATATAAAGAAAATGAAAATCCTTACAACTAGTCCAATAAATAGCTTCATGGTGGATGGAGAAAGGATTGAAGTTGTCAAGGACTTCATACTACTTGGTTCTACAAGCAGCACCAATGAAAGCATCAGTCAAGACACCAGATGACATATTGCATTGGCCAAATCTGCTGCAAAGACCTCTTTCATGTGATGAAGAGCACAGATGTCTCCTTGAATACTAAGGTGAACCTAAACCAAGCCATGGTATTTTTTAATCACCTCTTATGCATGTGAGAACTGGACAGTGAATAAGGAAGACTGAAGAATAGTTGATGTTTTTGAGTTGTGGTGTTGATGAAGAATGCTAATAGTATCATAGACTGCTAAAATGACTAACTAATCTGTCCCGGAAGAATTGAAGCTAGAATGTTTCCTGGAAGCAAGAATGTCTAGACTTCATCTTACCAAATTTGGTCATGTTGTCAGAAGGAACCATTCCTTGGAGAAGGATATCATGCTTGGTAAAGTGGTGCTGTTTTTGTTATGTGCAATCAAGTCACCTCCAACTCATAGCGACCCTAAGCACAGCAGAATGAAACATTGCCTGGTCCCACACCACCTCTGCAATCCCTGCTATACTTGACCCTATAGCCACAACCACTGTGTCAATCCATCTCTTTGAGGGCCTTCCCCTCCCTCATCGACCTCCACCTTACCAAATATGACATCCTTCTCCAGGGAATGGTCCCTTCTGACAACATGACCAAAGCAGGTGAGATGAAGTCTGGCCATTCTTGCTTTCAAGGAGCATTCTGGCTGCACTTCCTCCAGAACAGATTTTTTAGTTCTTTCAGTAGTTCATGGTACTTTCAGCATTCTTTGCCAGCACTACATCTCAAAAGCATCAATTCTTCTTCAGCGTTTTTATTCATTGTCCTGCTCTCACATACATGAGGCAATTGAAAACATTGTGGCTTGTGTCAGGCACACCTTAGTCTTCAAGGAGACATCTTTGCTCCTCAGGACTTGAAAGAAGTCCCTTGCAGCTGACTTGCCCAGTGCTATATGTCATTTGATGTCCTGACTGCTGCTTCCATTGACATTGAGTGTAGAATCAAGTGATGTGAAGTCTTTGACAACTTCAATCTTTTCTCCATTTATCACGATGCTGCTTATAGGTCCACTTGTGAGAACTTTTGTGTTCTTTATATTGAGATGTAATCCATACTACAGACTTGTAATCCATACTTCAATCCTCATCAGTAAGTGCTTCAAGTCACCCTCACTTTCAGCAAGCAAAGTTGTGTCATCAGCTTATCCCAGGTTATTATTGAGGCTTCCTCCAATCCTGATGTCACGTTCTTCTTCATAAAGTCCAGCTTCTCAGATTATTTGCTCAGCACAAAGATTGAATAAGAATGGTGAAAGGATACAACCCTGATGCACTCCCTTCTTGATTTAAAACCATGCAGTGTCCCCTTGTTCTGTTGGAATGACATCCTCCTGGTCTATGTACAGGTTCCTCATGAATACACTTAAGTGTTCAGGAATTCCTATTCTTCCCACTGTTATCCACAATTTGTTATGATCCACACAATCAAATGCCTTTGCATAGTCAATAAAATGCAAGTAAACCTCTTTCTGGTATTCTTTGCTTTGAGACAAGATCCATCTGACATTAGCTATGATATCTCTTGTTTCACATCCTCTTCTGAATCCAGCCTGCACCTCTGGAAGTTCTCTGTTAATATATTGCTGCAACTGTTTTTGAATTATTTTCATAAGATTTTACCTACATGCTGTATTAATGATATTGTTCGATAATTTCCACATTATGTGAGATCACCTTTCTTTGGAATGGGTACAAATACAGATTTCTTCCAGTCAGTTGACCAGGTAGCTGTCTTCCAAATCTTGGCATAACCGAGCGAGTGCCTCCAGTGGGGCATCCATTTGTTGAAACACCTCAATGGCTAGTCTGTCAATTCCTGGAGTATCGTTCTTAGCCAATTCCTTTGGTGCATCTTTGACTTCTTCTTTGACTTCTTTGAATCAATGGTTCTTGATCATATGCCATCTCCTAAAATGGATGAAGATTGACCAGTTCTTTTTGGTACAGTGACTCTGTGTATTCCTTACATCTTCTTTTGATGCTTTCTGCATCATTCAATATTTTTTCCATAGAATTATTTAATAGTGCAGCTTGAGGCTTATTTTTTTCCCTCAGTTCCTTCAGCTTGAGAAATACTGAGCATGTTCTTCCCTTTTGATTTTCTAACTCCAAGTCTTTGCACACTTCATTATAGTCATTGGCTTTGTCTTCTCTAGCTGCTCTTTGAAATTTTTTGTTCAGCTCTTTTATCTTGTCATTTCTTCCATTTGCTTTAGCTACTCTCTGCTCTGGTAGCATAGTGGCTAAGACACTTGCCTGC